TCGGCTCTCACCAATCTCTTCCCTTCAAAATTACACTGGCAGTTACAGTTGTGTGTAACACAACTTCAGCATTCTGTTAAATACCAGTTCAGCACTAAGTACTAATAGCTGTGATCTTGGATAGATCATTAACCTCCATGGGCCACCATTTCCTCACCTGTAAAATAAGGAAGTCTTTTCCTGTTCTAAAGATCCTCTAGGGCTTCCCTGGTGGCGCAGTGGTTAAGAATCCGCCTGCCACTGCAGGGGTCACGGGTTCAAGCCCTGGTCCGGGAAGATCCCACACGCCGCAGAGCAACTACGCCTATGTGGCACAACTACTGAGCCTGTGCTCTAGAGCCCGCAAGCCACAACTACTGAGCCCATGTGCCACAACTACTGAAGCCCGTGCTCTGCAACAAGAGAAGCCACCGCAATGAAAAGCCTGCGAAATGCAATGAAGAGCAGCCCCTGCTCGCCGCAACTAGAGAAAGCCCATGTGCAGCAACGAAGACACAATGCAGCCAAAAATAAATAAAATAAATTTATTAAAAAAAATAAAGATCCTCTAATTTTACACACTGTCACATACTGTTTCACATACTAACCTCACTTCTCTTATTTGATTTTAGAGTTCCTGAAGGGAGAAAGTACATCTTCTATTTCTCCCCCAACTCTCAAGGCAACTTACCCCAGGATGTGGCTCAAGGAGACGCTCTGTAAATGTAACAGTAAAATAGTGTCATCAGCCCTTAACCCAAGACCTAGTTCTAAAGCAGTTTAGGAAACTGGTAAAGGAAGTTCGTGCCAGACAGAGAAGAAGATATTGAGATGATCTACTGTTTGTTCTCTTCTAGAGTCTAAGGTCTGTCTTGATAGAAAATAACCACCCAGCTACAGAATGCAATGAGCACAGGTTTGAGAGCTCAGAACAGTCTCTTCATTCCTATGCAGCAGTGTCTGAGGTATCAATACGTGTACAGAAGCCCCTAGATGGCAGACGCAACTTTTAGGTAAGCTCAGGCGTTTTGTGTGCCTAGGGCAGAGTATTCAGGGGCCTCATTTTCAGTGGAGAACCCCTGGGGCTATCTCAAGGCTGCCCTACAATGGTGGGGAAATTTAGGTTCATTTCATCCACATAAGACCTGAAACTGCAAAAGAAGAGCAATTTCTTCCATACCCAGCCCCAGTGCTCTCCCCACCCCTCCCCAAGAAAAACACAAGCTTTTATAAGAGGGAAATTAACAAAGGCAGATATATCCAAGCATTAAGTTCTATTTACAGCTTCCAGTAAGATGTTTTTAATCTGCTCTCTCTTCCCAGGGCAGTACAAGTCAACATGTGGACAGAGCGTAAGGAAGTGGTCTGCTGGGGGACAACGAGTCAACATTCAGCAAAAGTTAACCAGGAACTCCAAGACAGTGAGAGGGAGTCATCCTGAACCTGGTCATAGGCAGAGGGCTGAGCCCCTTTCTGTTTCATTATCTTCAAGTAAAATGTACTCAGTACCCACGTGCACATGTCCCTTTTATCAACAGAGGGTAAATATATCCATATTTCAATCGAGGGAAACTGGTCAATGCTTTCCAGACACTTCAAAACATGATCTGGCTCACAACTGCCATCCTAAAGAGTGAGCAAATCAAATCAGAGCCACTCAAACGAAGTCAGTTACTCCCTGAACAATCAAAGAAGAAAACGCTGCCTTTTTTTTTTTTTTAAACTAATAGTGCTTAAGACAAAGCAATGTCCCTCCTCTTCATTCAGCTGTTTCACAGAATTATGAGACAAAGGGCAACTACTGCATCGTCACTTATTTTTTGGAGTAAAGCCACAAGATTACTAACAAACAGCTAACGGCCACCATTCAAAAGCAATAATGGCATGATGACTTCATATGCCAGTTATCTGCCAATCTGGAAAGAACCAAATATATGTATGTTTCTCTCTCCCCAAAGAAAATCTGAAAGTAAATGTGAGCACTCTGATTCACTTTCTCTCCCATCCTAAAAATTTCTGGGGGAAATATTAAACAGTATCATCCTAATTGTAGGATGGAAAAGAAGGATATTACACTTGTTCAAGAAGTTTACCAATTTAAGGTGGAGAACTTATAAAATGTTCACGGTCCAAGACTAAATTTAGTGGCAGTAAACAGGGAAAGTTCTTGTCTAAAAATTCTTTAAAACAGACCTCAAAGTTCACAGTTTTGTTTTGATTTGTTGCTTTAGTTCTAAATGTGCAACTGGATAGACTAAGAGAAAAAATATGAACTTCCAGGCTCAAGTTTCAAGTTTCTAGGGTAAACTTAATGGAGAAATCTAATTTGTATTTCCGTAAACAAACAAACCAAAAAAACCCCCAAGCTTGGCCCCAAAGCATTTTTGTACAAGTGACAAATGTGGCTACTTGAGGAGCCAATCTTTTTTTTTTTCCCTTTATCTGAGTAGCCAATCTTATTATGATATCAGGAGCAGGTTATCTGCTGAATAGTAATCACCTAAGAAAACACCAAATTATCTCCTCAGTACAATGATACAGAGTAATTTAGTAGTCTAAGTTATGATTGCCGATTTCTAGCTAAAGACATAGAAACAGATGATGTATTTCTCTCTAAAACCTATAGCTGGTTCTGTCTGCTTTCTGATTAATTTAGTGCTGACTTTGAGAATACCGTCAAAAAGCTCACACACACCTCAGAATGCGAGAAAATATTTGCAAATGAAGCAACTGACAAAGGATTAATCTCCAAAATTTACAAGCGGCTCATGCAGCTCAATGTCAAAAAAACAAACAACCCAATCCAAAAATGGGCAGAAGACCTAAACAGACATTTCTCCAAAGAAGATATACAGATTGCCAACAAACACATGAAAGGATGCTCAACATCATTAATCATTAGAGAAATGCAAATCAAAACTACAATGAGATATCATCTTACACCGGTCAGAACGGCCATCATCAAAAAAATCTAGAAACAATAAATGCTGGAGAGGGTGTGGAGAAAAGGGAACACTCTTGCATTGTTGGTGGGAATGTAAACTGACACAGCCACTATGGAGAACAGTATGGAGGTTCCTTGAAAAACTAAAATAGAACTACCGTACAACCCAGCAATCCCACTACTGGGCATATACCCTGAGAAAACCATAATTCAAAAAGAGTCATGTACCAAAATGTTCACTGCAGCTCTATTAACAATAGCCAGGACATGAAAGCAACCTAAGTGTCCATCAACAGATGAATGGATAAAGAAGATGTGGTACATATATACAATAGAATATTACTCAGCCATAAAAAGAAACGAAATTGAGTTATTTGTAGTGAGGGGGATGGACCCAGATACTGTCATACAGAGTGAAGCAAGTCAGAAAGAGAAAAACAAATACCATATGCTAACACATATATATGGAATCTAAGAAAAAAAAAAAGGTCATGAAGAACCTAGGGGCTAAGACAGGAATAAAGACACAGACCTACTAGAGAATGGACTTGAGGATATGGGGAGGGGGAAGGGTAAGCTGTGACAAGGTGAGAGAGTGGCATGGACATATATACAGGACCAAATGGAAAACAGATAGCTAGGGGGAAGCAGCTGCATAGCACAGGGAGATCAGCTCAGTGCTTTGTGACCACCTAGAGGGGTGGGATAGGGAGGGTGGGAGACACAAAGGGAAGAGATATGGGAACATATGTATATGTATAACTGATTCACTTTGTTACAAAGCAGAAACTAACACATCATTGTAAAGCAATTATACTCCAATAAAGATGTTAAAAAAAAGCTCACGGTTTCCTTCTCCTTAAAGGGCTCTTTATCACCTTCTATGAAGTGCAACCTACATTTCTAACATTACAAAAACTACTGTGCAGTAGTAGTTCACAAAAACTAACTTCAGAGCAGAACTCTACACCTTGGGCAGTGAACAAAATAATAACTCTCCATAGGTCTGCAAAACTTAAAAACAAAAGTCACTAGTCCTTTTATAAAGAATCATATTTCTGTATTTCCACTTTCTTCTTCTTTATAAAATCCTAATAATTTCATTCAAGAATAGTAAACAAATGGATGGCAAATTCCAATAATCAGGTTTAGAGGAAAAAAGTCAAAACTTGAGACACAGTGAAGACTCAAACATTAAATTTCAGGTTTTTCTCAGAGTTGATACACTATTTGATAACACCCACCCATGTAAAAATAAATTACATATCCAAAAGAGCAAGCTGCTCGAGTCAATTGGGTAAACAACATAATTAACACGTGCCAGGTGGAAGGCGAACCTCATGTAAATAGTGGGGCTCAAAATGAGCTGCAGACTGTAAGGAAGCTTATTTTTAAACTGTCAGCAGGTTTCTCTGGTGAAATCAGAGTTTAACATGGGGTAACTGCTCCTCAAGTTAAAGAAAATCGAAATCTGACTGGTACAACAGCAAGTTGAACCTTGTCATTTAGAACTCCATTAGTTGTTTCATGAAGAATAAGAATACACTGAGGTTCTTTAACGAGTTTTGGCATGTACTTCTAACCACCTCTCTAAACTAGGGGAAATTAATTTCTAACCTACTAGGATCACATTCCAGAAGCAAAAATCTTCTGACTATGTAAGATAAGACTAATTGAGTGCTTTTACAAAAATACTTCAAATTTGGGTCTTTTAAAAAAATCCTCTCTTTTTTTTTTTATAAAACTCTAGTAGATTAGGTAACCCAACCTACTCATACGCTTCCTTACTATAATCATATTGCTCTGACATTACTTGAATTACCAATATCAACAAGCACAGAAATGCTCAAGGCATTCACACAAAGGCAGTTAAAGACCACACATCACACCAACACTCTGAAGTCATGTTTGATATTCTACTCAGCATCTAGCTCTCCAAATCACACAGGATGGTAAATGTTAAAAGTGGGCAATGAAAAAAGAACAAGCACAGCTTCTTTGTGTGTTATCAGGGCACAAGAAGGCAGGTGAGTACAAGGAGAAGCCATCTGAGCGTTTGCTGGGCATCAACACTTACCTTGAGGATGTCCCCCCTTTTGAAGCTCAGCTCGTCGTCTGCGGTAGCTTTGAAGTCATATTTGGCGATGGCTTCCATTCTGAGCGGGGCTCAGGGCTCAGCAGCCTGAAGCAGGGGGGAAGGGAGTCTTCCCTGCTGAAGCAACCCAGTGCTCTGGGCTCAGCCTCGCCTCTCAGCTGGGACTCGCTCCTGCACGCCGGGACACACAATGCCACCCTGAATCAGAAGAGCAATGATTGAGAGAAGTGGCCGGATCGAAGGCAGCCCCGCCCTGCCAGTCGGCCTGCCGTCCCAGCCCCCACGCCCCCTGGCTCGGCCTGGCTCAGCCCTCCTCCCTCCCTTCCAGGCAGGAGCCCTGAGCTCCTCCTTCCTCTTTCCAGCCTCGGCCCCCAGGCAACTGACAGGCCTGCCGGCCAATGGCGGCAGCTGCTCGAGCTAAACCAGAACACACTTCCTCTTCCCTCCCGCTGGGTGTGTTCGGTGTGCAGGAACCGGCTGGAGTCCGAACGGTCTCCGCCTTTCCTCCCTCGCCCCTCACGCTCTTCTCCAGGCACGAAATGCAATCCACGTAAAGAAAGGCCTCGCCCTCGGGATGGCACCCTACTTTTCTCAGTTATAGAGGCCTCTCTCCCTCCTTTCTCCCTGTCAACCTTTCTGGTGTTTTGAAAATGTTGGGTCCCCTATCCACAGTCAAAAGCCAGCAATGTGGGCTTTGGTCCTGAGCTGCTTTAACTGTTCTCAGAAACTAAACCTTGGTCTGCCCCTAGGAAAGTGGAAGAAACTGAACCTAGGAACTACTTTCTTATTCAGTTTGCTACTCTCAGCATAGGCAACTCTCCCTCTCCACTTGCCAGCTGCGACCGGCAAGCTCAGGTGACCAGAAAGGAAATCCAGCTCAGAGCCTTTGGTGGGTGGAGACCTGCTCGTGCAGAAGGCTCCCTATCCCTCGAAGACCCCTAAGACGTCGGGGGCCCCAACAGCCCTTGGAAACAGACGTGCAAGGCTCAGCATTCCAAAAGCAGCCTCTGCATTATTCCTAACTAGCCTACGGAGCAAGGGTGAAGTCCTAATCTACACTTGAAAGCAATCCCTTTTTCAGAATCTTAGCTACCGCCCAAAAGCCAAACAGAAGCCTCTCACAGTTTCCCTTAAAACAGGTGCTTTTCTCGGAGCCAGGGGAGTACTAGACTGATCCAAACTGCATTTTGCAGGCAAAGATTCTGTAATAACCCTTAGGTAGTGTACCAGGTGATGGTGAAGCTGGGCAGTACAATCACTGCGGAAGTGAAGAGTCTCGAGCCCTGAATATGGGACACAACCTAGACCTTCCCGTAACTAAAGGAAAACGAAGCCCCATTCTTCTTTTGTCAGTCACTGTTTTCATACAGGCTAAATAAAAGCAGAAAACAACACTGACACTGGCAGAATGGGGACAGATTATAGTGACACCCTTTGGTGGATAATTACCACCTAGCAGAGACCTCATTTGAGGGGCACGAGTGATTATTATTCTTTTGTTCTAAAGTTAACAACTGGGGCATTAATCAAGCATAGCTACAAAAGGACTAAGGAGTAAACCAGCTGGGAATACTAAGGTTAGAGGGAAATGAGTATTACCAAGGAGGAAAGAACCACCGGGTAATAAAAAGTCCTTCAGCCGAATTCTGAAGGCCAAACATTCCACTGCAGGTAAACTAATAAACTAAACCAACGTTTATTCATTCTATCAGGCCATACCTAGGATATCCTGTGTTGTGCTGGCTCTAAAACAGGAAAGCAAAGAGTCCCAGCAAATTAAAAAAAAAAAGATTAGTCTCAGTATTTTCGTGTGTCCTTTAAACACCCTTTACTTATACTCACCATAGTTACTTATTTATCAAATGAATCCATATAATTTTAAAAGTCAGAGCATTAAAAGGCTTATGAAAAAGAGCAATTCCCTACCCCAACACTCACAAGCAATCACCCTCAATTTTGTTTTTAGCTTTCTCTTTATGTTTACTCAGACTATTTCTAAATAACACCCTTCTACTGCTGTTTCTTAATTTATTCCAGCCATCACCTATCACCTGAAAGATGAGGACTTAGCTGTTCCGCCCCTGCCAATTCTGCCTTGCCCCATCCCAGTAATGCCACATATTCCGGTTTAAGCAGTAGTTATTACATTACGAAACATTGTTCACTGGTGATTTAAATAATGTATGGTAACCAACCTTCCTTTCTAGTACAATCCTTCAATTTTTCCCGGAATTAATAACTGTTTCTCCTTTTTTGCCTACTTTCCAGTGTGTACCTATTTAAAACTTTTTACAGCTGCTCCAAAATCCCCGCTACATGCCTATCAATATTTTCCATACCCTGACCTGACCATTTATTTTCACTGGTCTTCAGGTCTGATTGTTGGGACTATGTATCAATGATGGGAGGTTGAATAATAATTGCGCAGATCCAAAAAACTTTAAAAGTTTCATTTTTGAAAAACAGAAATCAGACAGAAACCTAAGCACTGTCACTGTCAAGGTACTATGCAGTAACAGGGCATAAACTTCTATGTCATTCATGATTCCAGATAGCTGCAGTGTGACTGAACAGCCAGACCATAAAAACCAAGAGTTTTCAACATTTGCTCTCCTGCTGTTAGTCAACTTATCTACCACAGGTTTCCTAGAGAAAACTTAAACAGACAACACTCTTGAAAATCGTGTTTCAAGTAACAATTGCTTTGTAAGATACAGTTTAATAGGAATGAAAACCAACCAATCAATACTTTGGCGGTGGTGCCAAGTACAAATTAGCGTTTCACAGAGAAAACTTGAGGAGGCCAGGTTTTAGGCTATCCACTGAAAAACATGTGGGCTCAAGAAATTCAAAAGGGTGCGTTTCATTAAAGACAAAAAAATTCTATCACATACACCGCATTAATTACTTAAAAAGGAAGAAAGAAATCTGAAAGTGGACACAATGTATAATGTTTTTAACAGAGTATATGTTGCTGTAAATTTCTCAAGAAAATGGACTGGGAGTACATTTAACCCTGAAGCCTGATGACAGAGTATGTCTGAACTGTTACCAGCACACACCCTGCAGCTCATCACAAGCAGAGAATTTTAACAAGGCAAGTGCAGCTTGAACTGTTCATTTAAAGCAATACGCACTGTATCGTAAACTGCAGTCTCCTAAAGGTATTTGTAGGATTTTATTTTCTGTCTTCCATTCAACTCTCTTCTTCCCAAAATTCACAGAAAATAAAATACGCGATACTTCACTGGGCCAGTACAGCTTAGTGTTAAGCCTGCATGGTTTGTAAAGGCTGACCCCAAGTTCAAGTAATGACCTTGATGCTTACCAGCTATAATTTTGGGCAAGGCTTTTAAAGAAGCCTCGGTTTTCTCATCTGTAAAATGGGTATAATATCACCAACTTTATAAGATTCACTGAGCATTGAATTAGGTAATACAGATAATAGACACATATGAAGCGCTACAGACAGAGCCTGACATTAAGTCACTCTAAGTTAAAACGTGACTCTACTTAAAACATATTAGATGTTTGTCTTCATTATTAAAAATGGCAAATTAAGGCTTACACTGCCATGGCCTGGGTTCTATCCCTGGTTGGGGAACTGAAATCCCCCAAGCTGCATGGTGCAGCCAAAAAAACCGAAACAAAAATCGGCAAATTAAAACAATGAGATTTCTTTCACCTACTAATTGTCAAATTTTTTAAAGATTTATAACATCCAGTCTCTGTGATACTATGGATAAAGAGATTCTCAGACTCTTTAACCAGTGTTGATTAAATTAACATTTTGAACAGCTACTATATGCCTAACAATAGGCTTAGTACTGGATTATAAAAATAAAATCACCACAGAGCTCACACTCTATCAGGGAATTAATTAGTTCAATCTTTTTGGAGAGTAATTTTACAGCATCTATTGACAAATTTAAAATACATACCCTTGGGCTTCCCTGGTGGCGCAGTGGTTGAGAGTCCGCCTGCCGATGCAGGGGACACGGGTTCGTGCCCCGGTCTGGGAAGATCCCACAA